TCCCACCCTCAAAGGGAGCAGAGGAAACTCAGGGGCATTCTCAGCGGGCCACTGATCACCAAGTCAAAAGACTGGTCAGCCTCCCACAGATGGCAGAAACACCCCACAGCACGCGGCGCCCTTTGATCATTTTTCAGGGTTTGGCTCGAGCTCTTCCTCCAAGAAGCCTTCCCTGACTGCTCCAGTCCATTATACTCTCCCAGTCTGGGACACCTCCACCACCCACCCGTTACGATCTGGAAAACTACTCTTGCATCACTACTTAACTCTATTCACAAGTGCGTGTCCCCGCTCAGCCACGAGGCCCTTCTCTGTGGCGATCACACGCCCGGGTGGTCCATAAAATGTGCACGACGGAAAGCCAAGCCTGGGCGCCCCTCACCCGAGTGCCCACTCACAGGAGGCCGGGGAGTGGACGCGGACGCGGGCCATGGCCGCGCACATCACCCGGCTCTGTGTGCTCAGGAACAAGGAGGAGCCGCGACGGGCCTGGCGAGGCCCCTGGGGCCGGCACGCACTCCTGACAGTGACAGCGGAGCGCTGGGGTGGGCCGTGGCCGGGAGTCAGGGCTGAACTTTGTGAAGCGCAGACAGAAGCTGCATGGCTGGGTCTCTGTCACAGCGAGCACGTGTCTCTTCTGTTCAAGCCCTTGCCTGTGTATGAATTCAGTCTGGGCTAGGCACGCAGGCCCGGGAGAGGGAGCCGGTCACTTCTCACGCGCTTCGCGAACAGCCCTGTGTTTTCTACCCATAGCGCGGTGGCCCTAACTTCCTTAGCACAGCGTCACCTGGGAGCTTGTTAAAACAGAAGGCCCGGAGGGCCCGAAAACCTGCTCTTGGAACACCGGCAGGGCTGCTGCTGCTGCTGCCGCCCGCCCTCAGCCCACATGTTTCGCAGCTCTGCTCCGGAGTCAGGCTCGTGGGGCACCTGCAGCTGAATGCGGCAAACGCACCAAGCAGAGTAAGACAGAGGGCTGTGCTCCGGGGACCCGGGACCAGGCAGGGCCAGCCTGGACCATCCCGAGGGCCACTGGGCCCCTGCCATTGTGTGCAGACACTGTGGGCGTGGGTGCGAGTGGCCACAGGTCTGCCTGTCACTGCACACCCACCCCAGGCTGGCCTGCGGTGCCCTGCCCTGAGGCTCTTTAGGGCTGACCCAGGAAGCAGGGCGGGCAGGAGCTGAGCAGGTGGGGTCTCCTCCCAGTCACCCGACATCCTACGAGGTGACAGAGCTACTGCTGCTCCGCGAATGAAGACCAGGAGTCCAGAGAGGCAGTGACTTCACTAGGGATGCACAGCTGAGACCTAGCATGGCTCTAGTCAGTCCCGAAGGCCATGCCCTTCTGCACTCGGCCACAGCCATCTTCGGTAGCCAGGGAAGGGAGCTGGCTTGCTCCAGGGTCACCACTCACATCCCTGAACAGCCTGCTCCTGGGCCTCCTGGCCGGCCCAGCCTCCTCCCACCGCTGCCACCTGGGACAGCCAGGCCCCAGGGTGTAGGCTCCTGGCTTGGCTTGGCCTGGCCGGGGCTCACTCCCACAGACACTCCTCCACGGTGGGCTGGGTGTGTCCAGAAGGCAGGTGGCGATGTCCAGCTGGGGAGACCACCTGTCTGACACTACGCTGCTGTGAAACGGTCCTCTTAGGCCCCCTGGGTTATACCCTACCTGCCTGGGCCCGTCCCAAGGGCCTGCCCTGGTGTCTGGCTGAGGCGGGTGTCTGTCTGGCTCACGGACAGGCAGAGATGGAAGTGATATCCTCTCTGGGCCTTTCCCTGTCACTTCAGCATGCACATCCAAATTCCTCGTAGGTCTGGCCTCTGTCCACTCCTTTCCATCATGGGCCAGGCCTCTACCGCCTGAGTCTCCCCACCTCCACAGCCCTAGAGCACCCTTCAGAACCCGGATCTGACCCTGCCCTCCCGGCACATGCATCCTGTGGTTCTGTGGACCTCTGGTAAAGCCCACCATGTACACACCTGGCCTGTGCTGACCCCTGTCCACCTTCCAGCCCTGTGCTCACTGAACCTCCAAGGAGCAGAGGCTCAGTCCGCACTTCCTAGCCTGGGAGCTCAGCCTGGGACCCCACCGATGGGAGGCTGTGAAGGCAGGCCCTGAACCCCGGCCCGGTCTGAGTTCCGTCCTTCCGCAGCCCTGCCCCCCGGCAGTCAGTCCCTCTCCCAGGTGTCCATGCGCAGCCCCCAGCACGGGGTGAGACCAAGGCCCAGGGAATCTGCTCAAGGGTCCAGATCCACAAGGGAACAGAGTGGAGAGCGGGGTGCTGCACCCCACAGGCAGGGCCCTGCTCGGTGAGGGAGGGGAGGGGAGCCTGTGCCCCACAGGCAGGGCCCTGCTCGGCGAGGGGAGGAGCTGCTGAGGCTGAGACTTGGCTGTCAATCCCTCTGGAGCAATTCCCAGGGGAATGAGGAAAACCGTGCTGGAACAGCGACAGAGACAGACGGATGCCCGGCCCCCTCCGCAGCCTCTTGGTGGTGGCCTGCAGCCCCTGGGAGTCAGCCTGTGCTGCTCAGGGGGTAGAAGCACCTCTGTTTCTGCCACTGAGGGTGCCGAGCCGTGTGTCCACGCCTGAGCTGGACCCCTCCCTCTGTCCACACTGACACACAGATCAGGACCTGCTTCAGGGAGGGTGGCAGCGGCCATGGCTAGGAGCTGAGGGGAGGACAGGACAGGGACCTGCTGCCCTGCCACCCTGCCAGTCCTGGGAGCTGAGTGTCAGAAGCAACTGTCTGCGCTGTACTGCCTCCCCTTCCTGAGCACCGAGATTGCTCCCGCTGGAGCTGCTGCCACGGGGCACTGACACACAGATCAGGACCTGCTTCAGGGAGGGTGGCAGCGGCCATGGCTAGGAGCTGAGGGGAGGACAGGACAGGGACCTGCTGCCCTGCCACCCTGCCAGTCCTGGGAGCTGAGTGTCAGAAGCAACTGTCTGCGCTGTACTGCCTCCCCTTCCTGAGCACCGAGATTGCTCCCGCTGGAGCTGCTGCCACGGGTCTGCAGAGCAGCCCCCACGGTGGAGTCAGGGCTCCCTGAGAGCGGGCCCGGGGCAGTGAGGGACCCAGCTCTGGCCCCGGCCCGGGGCTACTGCTGGCCCTCAACTGTAGATCTGGGTGCTCTCTTGAGGGGAGGTGGGGTTGGCAGGGATCCGGGCATGGACTCAGGGTGCCTGGAGATTTCAAAGCCACCTGCGCTGCCTCGGCAGCAGGGCACAGAGGGGATGCCAGGGCAGCTCCTCCCAGCCTTTCTCCCTGTGTGGCCCGTTGGGAACATAAGAGGATCCAGCCCATCATTTCACAGATGGGAGACTGAGGTCTAGAGGGGGAGAGTGACCTGACCCGGGCACCCAGGGTGGGCAGACTGGAGAGAGGTCTCTGCTGCTCCTGCTTTGCCCACCCGGCCCCAAGTGCCCTTGTTCCTGCTCGCCGGCAGCTCTGGCACGGACAATGTCTGTTTGGGGGCTTAAGCCTCGGAGGCTGGGAGGGGCTCTGAGTGGGGCTCCCCACTACCTGTTGGAGAGGCGAGGGTGGAGAAGCTGCGACACTTCCTTGAGCCAGGGTCCCACACAGCACACCGCAGGGAGACCAGTCATTTCCTGGGACTGTCCATCTCCCTCCCTAGGCAGCCTAGGCACTGAGGCTGGCAGTCTGTGGGTCCCTCCCAGATCCAGCAGGCCAATTCCAAGCTTCCTAACTGAGTTGAAAAGCCAGCCCCACTGGGAACTCAGTTGACAGGGGGACCAAAACCCAGCAAGACCCAGGCTGCGAAGACCTCGTGCAGAGGCTCACCCAGGGCTGGGATGTGCAGGAATGGACAGAACCCCGCGCTCCCCAGGCCCCTGCCTCAGGGGTGCAGACTTTTTCTACAAGCTGTTTGGGAAGCCTAAGATCGGAGCCCCATAGGTTAAAATGAAGCCCTACTCTGACCAGGAGGTGCCTGCCCCACCTGCTCAGTGGGAGGAGCTCTGGTCACCTGGCTCCTCTCTGGAGGTGGACATGGGGCTCTCCCAGCAAGCCTGAACTTGGGGGCTGGAAGTCCTTGCTGTCCCTGGAAGCCCCAAGAGCCTGGGCTGGCACAGTGGGGAAGAGAGAGGGGCAGGTTGGCGTGGTCCCTCCGGCTTTTGTTTGCCCAGCTTCCTGGGGTAGTGTAAGGGGGCGTGCTGGGGCCCCACCCCGGAGAAGGGCCAGTGAACTTGACTTCAGGTTTCCTGTCTCAGAGCCACTGGGGCTGCCCCAGAGGCACACTGGCCAACCACTGGCTCCACGCGGTGCCCGGCTCGGAAGTGCGGGACCCTAAGTGGGATAAGACAGTGGAGCTGGCAAGATGGATGGGAGAGCTCTCTTCTACTTCTAATATTTGGAGAGTCTCTTCCTTCTTGGCTGGGAAAACCCCAGTGCGTCTGTGCCCCCCTCCCACCATGTACGCCAGGGTTTCCGGGACCTGGCGGGTATGAGGCGGGGTGACAGAGTGGCTTGTTGAGACCAGCTCCTGCACTCGCTCCCTGTGTGACCTTGGCAAGAGACCAAACCTCTCTGAGCCTCAGTTTCCTCATCCCCTTTTTCTGCGGATGGGGTGGCTGGAGTGCAATGCAGAGGCAGGCCAGGGACCACCCTGCCCGCAAAAGGTGAGCCTCAGTAAATGGAGAAGGCTCAGCTCCCAAAGGGGGCCTGGTCCAGTCGGCTCTTCTGAGAAACTTTCTCTTCCCAGTCGCCTCACCTCCAGGCCACTGTTCCCAGGGAAGGGAGGGTGCCTTTCCAGGGGGTCTCGGGCCACCCTCTCTGGTCTTTGACCTCAGCTTCCCAGCAGGGTGTATCTGGGGGACTGACCACAGTGGGATGAGCAGCCTGCAGTGCAGGGCAGGGGACCCGTTGCCAGGTGCAGGGACAGGCTGTGGTGGGTGCTCTGGAGGAGGTAGGCACTTAGCGAGGTTCCCTAGCGTGCGTCCTCTGCCCCCACACCCAGTGACCCGTGGTTGCTCGGCCCTTACCTTGAACCATAGGAACGGCGCTGGCCCCGCGGCGAGGAGTTGGGCGCACGTGACGGGGGCGGGCAGCTGTTCCGTCCCGGGCAGGGCGCAGCTAGCAGCCGCCGCTCATGCCCAGGCCACGGCTGGGCTGCCCGCCGGCGCTCGGCCGGCGGG